CAGCTGTTTCATCCTCAGCTGTTCAATTCATTCTAGGAGTTATTCAAAAGAGAGAAAAAAGAAAAAGAAAGAGAGAGAGAGAGATTCAATATTTATTTTATGTGAAATAACAAACGCATTGCTCTATCAGATTGTGTCAGAATATTAAACTTTACCATTTGTATGCAAAATGAAAATATTTTTCAGCAGTTGGTGACATGTCACAGTTAACTCATTAATATAATAAGGGTTAATTCAACCTGTTATTATTCATTTCGTCATTTTAGTTCAGTCATCAGTTGCTATTTACGAACAAATGCTCATTTACTGCTATATATGTTTGATCATGATTTTAGTCTCATTCTACAAATCGTCTCATCTTCTATCATTTTTATCTCTTCTTCCTCCTTTTCTTTTTTTGAGATTTATTCATTCAAATTTGCTTTGATGAGATAATGTTCGTTTATTTGATTTAAAAGCTTTCCATGGAATTAATTATATTTAGCTCATTCATATGTATGATCTGGATAAATTCCAGATAGAATTATCCAGTTTTTTTTAGACGATCCATACTGTACTATGGTCGGATACTGTACTTGTTGTACAATTCAACATTTAACAAATTTTAGCTTTCGATGCCAAAATACAGAATTTAACAAATTAATTACATTGATTAATGATGAAAAAGTGTTCACTCAATCATTGTTATATATCTGATGTTGTATATGTCGGTGTGAAAGGAAAGCAATTGAAGAAACAAATTGTTAATAACAACAGCATTACTAATACTAATACTGCTACTGTTGTGACTTATCTGTAAGGAAATAGTACTTAAAAAAATATATATCTGATAAATATTTAATGACAGTAATACTTTTAGATCTTATACATTGCTAGTTATGAATTCAAAATTTGAATCTTCTTTAGGATACGATATGTAGAAATTATTTTTCAATTCTTTCATTCTTCTAAGAGATATTAATAGAATCGTAAAATTAAGATAATTTTAAATATGAAACGTATGGATGAAGATATACAGGTTAGTGATATAATTAAATTATAATTCTTAAATTGAAATTTATTTATTATATTATGCTAAATTTTGATTGAAAAAAAGAAGCAAAATGAACACAAACAGAAAAAATATTTTAAAAAATAAATTATTTGTTAATAAAATAAAAAATATAACATAATAGCAATAAACCTTGGAATTGAAATGTTATTGGTAACTTTATGGAAAGGTGTAGTTGATCTATAATCAGATAATTATAAAGATAGTTTGTTACTTTGTCCATTCTAACTGAAACATATTTTCCAGGGACAATCCTATTTGTTTTTCTTTTCTTTTATATCTTTGTGAAAGTGTTGACATTAGACAACATTACAAGATGTTAACTGTTTCTATAAAATTAAATCCCAATGTGCGTGAAATCCGTGAAATTGTTTATTTCTAAAACGGTAATCGTTGGTAGAACTCGAAAGTTAATATAATTATAAATTCAAAACTGAAAGAGAAGACTGGAAAATGTTTTCTTTGGAACGAATATAATTTACAAAATGAATGTATTCACGTCATATTGCGCATTTGCTTTCTGTTTATTCCGCTTTCTAAAGTTATTTCCTCGTTGAGAAATGATTCATATCGTAACAATTGATTTCTTCCTAAATTTAAAATGAAGCAAAAAGTTGAAGTTATAAGAAGTTAAGGTAGTGAATGAGTTAAAGGAAGAGAAGTGAAGGGAAAAATGTGAAGAGGAAAGAGTAAGGGAGTAGAAGGGAAATGGGAGTAAGTAGTTAAGCGGATAAAATTAGTTTCATTTAGCTTTATGAAATGAATGTAATAGCTATGATTCGTGAATGTTTGTGAATTTAGTATGAAAAAGGAGTAAAAGTAAGAAGAGAAAGATGTAAAATTTCATTCTTTAATTTTTTTTTAAATTATTTTGTTTCCTTTGTTCTTTTTTTGTTTTCATCAGTTTACTTCTTTATTCTCTCCGTATAAGTTGTAGTGTTTTTTATTATAAGCAAACAATTAAATTAAATTTTTCGCCTTTTTTTTTCAACCTGTGTACTGTATTTTAAATTATCCAAACTATTATCAAAACGATAAAATAGCTTGAATATCTTCAGGAAATATTCAATGTAACTCATTGTATGATGAATTTTACATCCTGGATGATAATGATTAGTTGTGTGTGATGATAATAATATTGTTTGATAATGATTAGTTTTTTTTTCTTCAATACTGCTAGCTTCTGATTATTTCCCAGAAAATAAGGACTGAAATTTAATTACATACAAATCATTAAAAGAAATCTTTTGTGACTGTCATTGATCACATCAAATCACTGATTTTTTTCTTCTCTGAAATGACATCATCTAGTTAACTACTTCAACAATTAGTTTAAACTAACAATCATACCTATCTGCTCCTCAATTTTGCAATTGACTGCTAGCAGATTCATTTAACATTTGATAATCACTAATATTATATTGACTGGTTTGATTAACAATGATAACACTGTCTGTCATCTGCTGATAAGCTATAAATCCTTGCACAAGGATTTATCTCTCTCATTCATACTATTAATCTAATTCAAAATGTTTACTCTGTACAGAAAATTAAATCTTTCTAATATTTATTAGTGAAATTTAAATTTTAGTAACACTTTATGAACTGACAATGGTTATGTCTAAGCTACGAATCAAAATAAAAATTTATTATATTAAATTTGAATACATTTTATTCCATTCTTTCTTTTACTTTGTTAAGTTTTGAAATTTGAAAAACTTTTTTTGGCACTTTAAAATTTTACTTTTTATAAATTCCAATGTATTTTATTGGTAAAGTATATATATATATATATTGCAATGCATAAATGTGCACATTAACGCCTTTATTTCCAGGCCTTTATCTCCCTTTGAATGTGAATGTGTAAGTTAGTTAGGCATTGCTATTCTATACTTTTCGTTTTGTCCCCTTACTCCTAATGCCACTTCAAATTGTCCATTTGACAACGTAATATTTCTTCGTGCAAAATTTTTATCCCAACTTTATCAATTCTTATTTATTATTGTCTTAAAAAATTTAAGGAATGAAAATTAAAAATTTTTGAATTTAAACTTCATTCATTAAAAAAGAAATATTTTCTTGTTGTTTCTCTTTAAAAATATTAAAATTGAGATAAAATCTAATCTTTTTTTCAATATTGATGAAAATCCATTCATTTTTTTTTCACCAAACAAATGTTTGTGATTCATTCCATCGATCGTGGATAAGCTTATTTTATCCATCAAACTGAACCTTTTTTTCTTCTTTTTTTTTTTGTTTACTAAAAAAAGCTCAACTGTTTGGCAAATTTTCTTTTTCACATTGATTTTTTTTTCTTTTCTTTACATTTGTTTTAAAACTAAATTTAAAAAAAGAAATTTTTTTTTCTTTAAATCTCCTCAAATACTAACATCTTTTCAACGTTGCTATATTTGACAGCTAAAGTAAATTTGCTGTCAGTATATTGATCTTATTAAGCAAAATTATCTAACTGCATAAAACTAATTGAAATTCACAAATTCATTTACTGAGACTAACCGACAGATAAGTGACAGATGTAGAGCCATGAATATATTCACATTAAATAGTACATTACATTTCCCATTCGATGATCTAAGAATTCATTTTCTTCCATTTCTTTACCGCAAATAGCAATCTTAATTTTTTTTTTTTTAAATCAATATTGTATATGAGAGGATATTTCAGTAGTGTCAACGTTTGCTTATGATTGTAACGTTTATTCTTACCAGAAAAATGTTGCACCATAAATATGTATATAAGGAAAGTTGTTGTTGGGATGAGAATGAATATTTTGTGACTAAGATATTTGCAGAGTATGGTAGGGAAAATTTATTAGTGAAGTTAAGTAGGAAGAAGAAAAGGTAGGGAGAATTTATTAGTGGAGCTATTAGTTAGCTGTTGCTGCTTCTACCTCAACACTAAATCAAAGGACAATTAGTTTATGGCGCAAAATGCTTTCTGGAAACAATGATGTGATAAGAATTAGTGATAGCAGCTGGAATAGAAGTTTTTATCAAACGTACAAAAGCTTATTTTATTATTAGATGCAAGAAATTTTTCACTACTTTTAAGCTTAGCTTATTAAATTTAATTTTAATGTAATTTCATCGCTAAATTATAAATTCGTTTGTAAAATTTCCTTTCAATAAGTGGTTTGATTTAAATTATGCTTTGAAATCACTTTGGTTGTGTTTCTCAAAAACTTTTCCAAGTTTATCTCATTTTATCTCAAATCATTTTTAGATCATTTTATTTTCAAAACTGCTTTCAACTCAAATTGTTTCCAACTTAAATCATTTTATCTCATGTTCTGGCTCATTGTATATTTTTACAAAAAATCTTCCACTTTCTTTTAGATAAAATTGAAATTGAAACAAAGTTCGTTTAATCTCCTCTAAAAAAGACTTGAATTGAGGCTAATTTAAGAGTTCTTATTCCTTAAATTTTTCATTGAATTATAACGATGAGAGAATTAAATTTATAGAAAGATCTTTGCATAATTATCAGCATTCTTAACATCTTTAATTCATTGGTACGCTTCCTGAGAGTAAGAATTTTTGATTAGAATTTGGAAAATTAACCAAAGAAAAAAATTCCTTCTGTTATTTTCGTGCGGTTTTCATCAACAACATATATAAATCATCAGTGTTTATGTCTGCAAGGAATGCGCAAATGTTTCAGGGGGCAATTTCAGAGCATACTGAATCGTATCAACCATCTTCTCAATGAACGAAGAATTTCAATGATATGATAGATCAAGCTGATGCAACTTTTCCTGAAACTTCATTCTAATTCAAATTTTCAGTAACTGTTCTTGAGATTACAACAAACAAAGAATTTTTGTTGCAAATGGTCAAATTAGGATATTTCACTGTTTCAAATATTCCATGTTGCTATGCTATTTCATCAAACATATCTAATTGGCGATACATTTATCAGTAGAAATTTGATTTAAATTTTAACATTAATCCATCAAAGCTCAACAGCTTGAAATTTGAATATAAATATTGATACATCGAGTATTGATAACAGAAAATAAAGGTTTGAATTTAAATATTCATTTGAGATATGATTAGCATGATTAGTTGTAATTTTATTTTTACTGATTAGCATTATTGCCAATAAACATTTTAAAATTCGGAACATTTTACTTTAAATTTTAGGCAAAACGGAAAATTTATCTTTACCGGATCTAAGATACAATTTTCATCAATTAGAATAAATCGAGAAAATGATCTCAATATCATTTCAATAGTTTTTTTTTTTTTTGTTTCACTTAAGTATTTCTTTTTGTTTCCAGTTTTTTTGTTTCACTTAAGTTACCGCTGGGCGATAGGTTATTTTGGGCATTAAATGGATATTATAAAGATGACAGCAAATATAATAATCCGGTATTCACTGGTAATTAATTTTAAGGTGATAAGGAAGAAGAATGGAAGTATTATCTTTTGTACTCAATTCACTTATTCGATTAATTTGATCCATAGAAAATCAATAACATTCCATGGATGTATTTACAGTTTACCTCTTCATTATCACAATTTTACAACTTTCGGAGCATATCAGGTATCATTTCTGATCTTATCACTAAACTTAATGACATATTCTATTTATTTATATCATTAAACATTTCATAAGCATTACTGATTATCGTTCAAGAAGAAGGATACAATTTGAAATGTTCTGTTTAACTTCATCAATTGATAATATTTGTTTCTATTGGAGTGATTAGAGCATTTGATAGAGATTGATCGTATGATCAGTTAGAAATTCATTAACTTTCACCGTTGTCATAAAGTTCTTGTCATTTAAGTGTGCAGAATTTATTATCAATGAACTTACTTTTAAAGGATCTTAATTACTTAAACAACTAATTTATTAATTAATTTATAACTTCATCATGCTGCTTTTTATCCTATGAAATAATTTGAATGTAGTTAGTCATTTTGTATAATCTTGAAAGCCAATTTTTTTCATTTGTGGCAATACTTTTTTCTTATCAGTTATCATAGGAAAGGAATGTTTGTTATGAAATAACTATTAATTACTCAAAACGAATTGAAATTTATACTTTGAGATTTCTTCATTTTGAAAAATTTTAAAATTTAAGTGATATCAGTGTTTGTCTGTTTTTTAATCTCAACTCAGTGAGGTTTTATTTTAAATTAATATTTTTCATAATTGATTATCGTGCAATCATCCAAAAAACTCTTAAAAAATGTGAACCAAATTGCTGAAAAAATATTTTTTTTCATCAAAACAAATCATTTTTTCTTTTTTTTTATAATTTAACATAAAATTTATCGGCCAACGTTTGTTTTTATGTCATTGCGCCACTAATTTCAAATGTCGTATCAAATGTCTCCTTACATAATTGTCTTTCTGACCATAACTAATATATCTTTCTCTTTCCATCTAATGTCAACTTTGAAATGTTCATATCGATCCACGAATGAGATTTTTAATGTCACCCAAGAGAAGTGCGCTTTTAAATGAAAAAAAAAAGTCAGCAATAGAAAGAGTAAAGCAATGGCTACTTGTATTTCATTCATTTCTCGTAACTCTCTTATAATTTAGGTGTCACATAGCTTTTTACAAATATTAATCAAGTTTCTAACAAATTACTCATATAAACTTAATACTTATTGATATGGCTTTCTATGGGATATTTTTTTTTTGTTGGCAGTTTTATAACAATGAATAAGGGAGTATCATCTTGAATACTTTCTTCAGTTAATTAGCTTCTGTTGAATAGATTTGTTTGATAAGAAAGAAGCAAAATTGAAAAGGGCGAGAAATGAAAGGATTGGGTGACAATAAACTTCGTACTTCAAGTGCAATAGTTAGAAATTTGAAAGATTGTTGAAACATTTTAATTGTAACTAAAAAAAAAAACAAAAAAAAAGCGAATTATTCCATTTGTACCAAAGTTCATTCCTTTCCACTTTGATCTTTGCTCTAACCATCGTAATAAATAGAACAAATTATTAGTATGTTTTCGACTAAATACCTTAAATTAGGGCTATCCTCTATTAAGTAATAACAACAAGCAACAATGTAGACAATTATAACGATAATCGGAATTAAATTTATTACTATGTTTTAAACTTAATACCTTAAATTTGAATTATCCCCCATTAAATGCTGGTAACATACATCACTACTATCACTACTGATAACAATCAAACAATTTTGAAGTGACAATATCTAACTTAACCTCTGGTAGTAATTCACATACGGAAGAGATATTTATCACTGTAAGAAATAATTTTTACTGATTTGATTGGAAGCTGATTTGAAGTATAGTGATGACTTTAACTTTACTTTCAACATTTTTTCCTAAAAAAAAGAAATTACAGGCAATTTTTTAGTTCTTTAGTAATTTTATAGTTGGATTTTTCAGAATCAACTGAAATATTTTTTATAAAATATGATATGCAAAGTATTTTTTCTTAAAAAACATTTCAATTAATTCTAAAAAACTTTTATGCCTGGAATAGTAATGGCCACTCATATGTGAATGAG